GTTCTAGGGGATCCGACAGCCTCTTCTGTCCTCCGTGGGCATTGCACGACAAGGGTACACTTACATACGTGCAGGCAATACATGCATAGACATAAAATAGAAATAAATAAAATATTTTAAATAAATAAATAAATAAATGGGTCGGGCAGGGAATATTTAGACTGTATCAGCCCTACAATCTCTGACAATGTGGTTAAATCAGCCATTGCCACTATCACACAAAGCAGCGATGGATAATAAATAAGCAGATGTGTCTAAAACTTTACAAGTAAAGTGTGCTAACTATAGGTAGAGAGATTAATAGCTGCAGAAAAGCTTAATTTTTACAGTTACTTTGCATCCTGATTTGTAATGAATTTTCCAGTACTTCTTGCAGTAAATTTTTTATGTAGGAAAATAAAAGTAATTTTGTTTTAAATTTGCAATATCAATGCCAAGCACTCCACTGTTGTATTCTCACTGATCACTGCCTCCTTCAAGACAGTGCTAACAGAAGTATGCCTTTATTAATAAACTCTATTTTCCATCCTCAAAGCTGATGTTGTGGTTTTCCAAAAATGCTCCTTATCATGTTCAAGCTTCAGACATGATGGCTGCATTAGCTGCCTTTTAAGATCCCTCCTAATTCAGACTTTCAGAGTGAGGTCATTAGCCTAGTTTGGGACTATAGCTGTAGGCTAACCAAGTGTTCTGAGCAATCCATCTTCCCCGCTGAGCTCCGCAGACCTGTTTTTACATAGTGGATACTTTCCAGATCTTCTCATTCAATTATTCAAACCTCAAGACAACACACAAGAAAATTAAGTCTTCCTATGGGTTAGAAAAAAAATGAAGTAGGAAATGAAACTTTTATTTTAGAGGTTTTCAAGGTGTTTTCCTTCGAGATTTTTTTCAATAAAAATAAATCACTGAAATGACTTTTGAGTCATAAGTGTAGACTTCATTGAAAACTGAATGATGTTCTAAGAAGACTGGGGGTAAAAGGATTCAAACAAAAACAAATGACTAAAACTAGCATGTGAATAAAATATATAATGCTTATTTCTGAAAAGTTGTGGTCTCACACCTAAGTATCATTAAAAATAAGTATCTGAAGTTGAAAGTTAATACATATATCTAGGCTTATATTTAAATATGTTTAAACTTCCTTTAAACCAGCTTTGACATCCTCACAAAGGTACCAGTGAAAGTTTCATACTCATGTCTTAGGTGAAAAAAATCACTATTAGTACAAAAGTCAGTACTTCAATTAATCAAGCTGGGCATGGCGCAGGTGTTAAAGGCTAAGGCAAATGACCAAAACAACAAGAAAAGTCAATTTGCCAAAATGTTTAACCTTGAAATTCCCCTTCGAGAATGAAATGAAAACAAACGCAATCAGTATTTCCATATTTACTTATTTAATTTCCCCGGAAAACTAAAAAATAGTTCAGCTGTGAAAATAATCACATTAAAGAAGGGACATGTTTAACATCAAGACCTGAGGAACTTTTCCTTATAAGGAGATGTCAAGGTCCAGATAAATAAAAATACTTCAAACAATACACAGTAAATTTTTCATTTTAAATATCAGCATACAGTCCTTGTCACGAACATTGTTCTCCAGTATACTATTATTTTACAGTAACAGAATAAAATAAAATTACAAATACAAATATTAAAGACCAATAATCAAAATGAAATTATTGTTCCACACAGCTAGAACTATCCATTTTAGTTAGTATCAGACATATACTTCTGGCATATAATTATTTAAAAAATGAGAACTATCAGTTCTAATTTAACCAGTTCAAACATTCATTTAGCCAAAGAAATAAGTCTCTTCAAAGTTTAGGATTTATGATTTTGGAAATTTTCAATGTGACACAGACTAGTCTGATGGCTCTACTGAATTCACTGCACAAAGACACTTATCAATTGATTTCTAGATTATAATTAGGAATGACTGATCACCAAAACACCTTAACCAAAGAATTACTAAAATTATTTGAGACAAAATCCTGATATGAGGAATATAATAATGGCCAGAATTTTTTAAAACTAGCATATGGAAGTTTTCACTTTCGAAACTATGAATTTGGTTTTCCAAAACCCTAGATCTGACATCTAAATCTTTCAGCAGAGGAAAGAAATTATCATTATAATGGACCTCTGGAGAAAAAGAAGAAAAAAAAAACCCTCTTAGTTTAGAACTTAGTTTCAAAAATACATCTGGTATAAGATATACAGAATTACATGGCAATATAATTGTGTTAAAGTTTATTGATTAGTTAACGAGTAGAGGCAAGTACAATGTAATACTTGCTTTTAGCAGAGCAGACCAGGTGGTACATTAACTTTGAGGGTAGGGATAGGAAAGAAATCCAGTTGGGCCTGGCAAACATTTCCTCTTGAACTTTCAGTATATATATTTGAATTTTGGACTGTTCACCAAGTTGCCCGCCCATGTGGTGGTGAGGAAGGACTTTGCCCACCCACCCCCATGATGCTTCCCAGAGCAGCACAACCAGGGTCTGACTGCCCAGCAAGGCGGCTCTTCCTTGGAAATCCCTAGGGCACTTGGGGAGGATGGAAGTATGGGGCATAAAAGCTAATGTATATCAAAAGTCAACCCATCTTAATTAGAGTCCATTTAAATTGAGTTATTCAAATACCAGCTGGAAGTACATTCTTTAGCTTCTTTAAAGAATGTGGATAAACATCTGTCTGCAAAATGCCTATGAGAGGTCCAGATGTGAACTTGGAGTTTATTGGCCCTGTGTTCTCTCAGCATAGGGCTTATAAGTCTTGGAAATCCTCTGATCGCTTTGACTATCTTTCCAAATAAAACCTTAATGAATATATTTGAGTCTCTTATTGAACTCTGTAATCCCTTAAACCAAATAGCTAAGCTGAGGTTGTTTTGTGTAACTTTTGTTTTACTGGAAAACACAGGAGGGTATTTTGCTATCATCCAGAAAGACCAATGGGCAAAAACAGCTTACCCTATATCCAACAATGCCCTTGGGGAGATTTCAGGAAGAAAACCAATTGATACAGTAGGCAAATGACATGGATAGCAAAACCCTTCCACACAGCTGAGACTCCGAACGGCTGGATAATTTCAAGTGAGAGGCGGCAGAAGACTTTCTTAGGTCAAAGCCAGAAGATTCTGAAGAACTTCAAGTGCTATATCATAGCAGAAGCGATACTGCTCCTATACACGCACACGAACAACAACAAGCAGTGAATGGCTGGGTGCCAGTAGCTCCTTTTGGAGAACACTTCTGTCATTTTACAGTCACATAAGCAAATTTCCCCAAAAGAACAAATGCTAATCTACAAACACCTAACATTTTTGTGCAAGTATATGTATATATTTTAAATACAAAGAAGATAAATGATCATAATATAGCTCTTGGCCCAAGATTAACTTATAACTTAACTAAATGATAGGAAAACATCAGTATGAACTTCCTGATTTCTAGCTAACCTAAATTAAATTCTCAAAATTCTAAAATTGCAGAAGAGGGGCAGAAAGATTGTAAGAGCCAGGGCTGGTGCATGATCATAAGGAAACAGAGCCTTCCAGGTTTCTGGGAACTTGCTTGTATCAATTTAAAGAAATGGTGATGGCATGTACAGGACCCACACAAACTCTGAGCCCCAGCATAGAACTGGGGAAATGAGCAGGAAGGCCCAACCTTAGTGGAGGAAATACTGGCAGCTGGTCACTGCTGGGTGGAAGAGAGTTGGTCTTCTTTAAGGAAGTAATGCTAGACAGACTGAACAGCCTCCAGTGGATGAACTCATACTGAGGGACATCTGGGTATACAAACTTGACTCAGTAGGCCTTAACATATATGACAGAACACATGAAATCTGGTGGGTTGGCTATGGGGGGGAGGGGTGGAGATAGGGGAAAGGGTCTAAATAGAATTAAGATGTAGTATGTAAAATGTACAAAAATTCAATAAAAATACAGATAGAAAAAAATGCAACTGTTTTCATTATAAATATTCTCTTGACATCTCCTGGTGATTACAAACTATTGTGTAACATAAGCAACATATTTTGATAACATGCTAATAACTGATATTTTAGTGGCAAATACACATTTCAAATTACTGCCTAGAAGTTTAGTAATAACTTTAGAGATGTTGGTTAAGTAGCATGGTGTTCCGGTCAAGGCATGTGACTTCAATTTTAACGCTGGCTCCTCCCCTTCTGAGTAGCCCTAGGGAACAGCCTCCACTGCTGTGAACCTAAAGTACTTTATCGGGACTATCAGAGCAAAGAAAGCTAACTCCATCAATGTCAACCTCAAACAGGAAGAATTCAGTGAGACTGTATAGGTAAAAGAACTTTATAAACTGAAAAGTCCTAAACAATGCTAATCTTTATATTGACTATTCTCATTAGAATTTATACAGTAAAAGCTTACCTTTGTTTGAATCATGCCACAACGCTGTTTTCTCATTTGGGTCACTATATTCATAATGTTGAACTGAAACAAGATGACAGTAATTTTGAATTATCCACACGGGAAAACACAAACCCACAGATTGCCAAACGAGAACTCTATAACTCTTCCCAGTGAAAGAGATGTCAAGATGTAAGAGCAAGGTCCCCCTTGCAGTCATAATACGCTTTTTTTTAACCTAGGCTAATGGGTAAGTCAGGCTCATTTTAACAGGCTTCTCAAGAGGAGGCAGGAAGCAATCATTTACAGTGAGGAATGCTCTAAAAACTGTCCCCTTTGTGCTAACCAAAGGAAGAAGTGAAAGCAGCAGCATAATTTTGGAAAAGCATAGAAGGCTTTCTCTGGCATAAGAATAGCAACACTGTTTCTTATACAGAGTCCTGTCAGCTCAAATAGAGACCCCGGGCCACAGTCACTAAACGCTATAGTCTGTGCCTGCAAAACTAGAGGTTGCCACTGAATGCCGCTCACAAAGGTCTGCAGCTACTGCACCATAACATGAGTCCAGAAAGCGAAAGCGTTTAGAAACTCTCATGGCAATTGGACATGAGCACAGCACTGCCAAGTGTGAACAATTGAACAGGGTATGGACCAGCTCAGGTGTGGCTGACTTGCCTGGAAAGTCACTGTGGTACAAGCACAGTGGCACAGTTCAGTCATGTTGACATATGACATTTTAAGGGTAGACAGCTACAACCTACAAGCATACAGAATTTTATTTTGTATGTGTGTGCATGTGGAGCTCAGAGGTCAACCGTGGATGTCATTCCTCTGAAGCTGTCAATCTTGCTTGTAGAGATATGAGTTTTTTACTGGAACCCAGAGCTCACTGATTAGGCTAGATTAGCTAGCCAGTGAGACCCCTTGGACCCATCTGTCTCTGTCTCCCAAGTGCAAAGATTCCAAGTGAGTGTCACCATGCCTGGCTTTTTGTGAATGCAAAGAAAGACCTAATACATGGAAAAATATATACGATGTTCATGGATTTGTTGATTCAAGACAGTAAAGATGTCAGTTCTCCCAAACTGATCTACAGACTTAAAGTGATTTCTACCACAATCCCAGCAGTGAAGCTAGTAACAAAATCTATATGGGAAAACAAAGACTCTGGACTCATTAAACACAATTTTGGAATGTAAGAATAAAGTATAAGGAATAATTCCCTCTGCGTTAAATCTTATTATATAACTACAGAAATCCAAAAGGTAGTATCAGCAGCAAAATACGATACAGATCAATGGAAGACAGTACAAAACCAGAGCTGCCCCTTAAGAAGTCTTTAAATTATTTTTTACTAAAGTATAACAGCTTAAGCCAGGCATGGCGGTGCATGCCTTTAATCCCAGCACTCGGGAGGCAGAGGCAAGTGGATCCCTTTGAGTTTGAGGCCAGCCTGGTCTATGTAGCGAGTTCCAGGCCAGCTAGGGCTACAGGAAGACCCTGTCTCAAAAAGACCAAAAAAAAGTATAATAACAGTTCAATGTAGGGAGAATAACCTTTTTGACATGTGGTACTGAAACTGCCTATCTATAACAAATAAATAAATAAATAAATCTTGATCTAAACCTCATACTTTATATAAAAATTAGCTCACATGAACTATGGGCTTAGGTCTAAAATATAAAATTTGAATTTCTGGAAAAGTATAGACCATTTCTTCAGGACCTAGGCTGGGTGATGAGTGCCTAGACTTGTGATGTATAGGAAGAAAAATGAGAAGACTTCACCAAAACTAAAACCTCTGCTTCTTTGGAAGCCTTAAAATTATAACTTAATGTTTGGCAAAATTACCAATAATTGGCAATAAATCTACAGTCCTTAATTTTAATTTGCAGTAGGCAAAACAAGCTTTGCTGGACTGTTTGGTCAAGAAAAGACACGGCTTTCAGAATGTGGATGCACTGGTCAACAAAAATGACAACAGAACTCCCCAGTCAAAAGACACAGACTATATGAATGGATTAAGAAACAAAACCCATCTTTTTGTTGTCTGCAAGAAACTCATCTCACTTTCAAGGACAGACACTATCTCAAAGTGAAAGGATGGAACAAAATATACC